CCTTATTACTTATATTTACATTTGTGACTTATTCATATAATATATTAGCCTGATTATAACTTTAACGCGTGAAATGTTTTATTTTTTCAACCTCAACGGCACGAGTTTGATCTATTGATTGGGCGTCGACCCTTTAAGACGTCACTGAGAAATTATGTCGAACGTTTATGACGCGAGGAACCTGTGTTTATACGGGTATAGATAATAGTCTTTTTATGCTCTATTTTAATAGTGTTATATAAAAGAAAACATTTGCAAATGTAAATATATAAATATGTAACCATTGTTAAGAGAAAGATGTTTAAAATCCCAAAGTGGTAAAGCCTTGAATCTACACTACCTGAGGTTGCTTCTATTTCAAGATGACTTAGTATGGTTTTGTTTGTTTTAAAAAAAAATCCTAAATTTTAATATTTAAAGCATTGATTCCACACTGGGGCCCGATCTTTGACTGGAATATGAAATATGGAGATAACGATCTGTATCCAAGCTCAAAACCCATTAAAACAATACAAATTGGGAGCAGAGCAAGCACGGACCTTCAAAAACATCAGAAATGGATCACTTGCCATGGAGGAGTGAGTATCCCCAGCCGAACGGTCAAGACCGCCGTGTTTTCCTTGTCATGAACGGGAAAAATGGAAAAATCCATTTACAATTAAGTGCGTAAATAATGGCCTAACATTAATAAGATATGATTTGAAATAACTTGAATCTACACTATGTGATTATGCTTCCAAATCAATATCACAAATCAGGCCGTTGTTTCCCCTGAGAGGAAGATTTATTTCTATGTAAAACTTTGGTCCCCCATTGTGCCCCCACCCATTTCTGGGGGGGGGGGATGATTTGAACAAACTTGAATTAACACTACCTGAGGATGTTTCCATATCATTATGACTAATCATGGCTTTGCTATTCTTCAGAACATTTTTCAAGATCTCTTCCTATATTTTCCTATGTAAAATATTGATTCCTAATTATGGCCCCACCCTATCCTCGGGGGGGGGGGGGGGGTCATTATTTGAGTTAATTTGAATCTACATATTTAATGAAGTTTTCACGTAAGGTTCAACTTTTCTGGCTCAGAGGAAGATTTTTGAAAGGTGGCAGCTAATTCGGACTAATTCTTAAGCATCTCCCCTTGGAAAAGGGCATGACACTTCATTTAAATAGCTTGAATTCTCTCCATAAATGTATGCTTTGTTGCAAGTTTGGTTGAAATTGGCCAAGTGGTTCTGGAGAAGTCGAACATGTGAACAGAAGGAGAGACAGACAGCTAGACAGACGTACAGGCTGACGTACGTCCGATAAAATGTGATCAGATAAGCTCACTTAATCCTTTAGTTCAGGTGAGATTAAAATAGTGGAAACTTTGTAAAACACGTTTTTAGCGAAGTGACAGGGAGCAACAGTTTTAATTCATTATACACGTACTTCTTAATATCTTTTCAGTACATTGCATTTTCTGAAACCATGGGAAATAAAACTCACTTGGTTGTAAGCATGAATTATTTATAAGATGTTTTCAGTATGTCTAGGTTTACAGGTTTGTGAATATCAGTCATTATATCGGGTCTCAACAGCTCAGTGGTTAGAGCGCTGTTACGGTACAACAGAGGTCCCTGGTTTTTGTCCTGGTTGAGACTTATTTTTTACCACCTATGACAAGGATATTTAGAAAAGCATCAAAATTTACCCATTTACCTTACTCAATTTGTTGAAACGCTGGGTTTTATTTTTTCTCTATATTTTTTTTACAAGATGATATGTCAGGGATATTTCATCTAGGATTCATTTTTTTCTTCAAAACAAATTCTACACATATTTTATTAGACTTTGCCAAAAAAATTAGAGATATATCGACCAAGTCAAGATATGATTATTTCGTTTTTGGTATGGAATTTCATTGCTATTGATCAATACCTTGAAATTCATATCACTGGTCCAAACTGTATTGAATTTCTTCAAACTTTACGATAATTGCAATCAACATTATTATTACTAAGTAACACACACCTGTACGGAACAAACGTAAAACAGTTTAACATTGCTAACTATGCATTCAAATGATTCCAATGTTTGGTTAGGTGTTCAGGTATTCCCGTAAAATGAGAAAGGAGTGGGTTATCCAACATTCTGTTTAATTAATGCTTAATAAACTCACAATTCCGGGACTGCCTTCTCTTCATAAAGATTATAACCGTTATAACCACTATGACTCCCATGATTACCCCAATTGGTAGACCAATAAATAAGGGCGTGTAATTGTCCTCGCTTCTAATCGAAAAAAAATATAGCTAGATAGAAATGTTTTCAAAAAGCTATTGGGTAAATTGGATTCCTAAAGAAAAAGGTAGAATGTATCTGTATTTTTGCCAAAGGTTTTATTTAATAGAAAAATTTTGTTTCAAAGTATAATGAACGCCACTGATAATAAAATTTAGGCAAATACGTTTGCAAGCATTTTCAAGTTCAGTATATAATTAAAGAAAACCTTTGTTAGAATAAGGTAAAAATACATGTAATTAAGTCAAGAATAAAATGATTGATTTCCTCTGCAAAGCAGTATACCCCATATACAAAATCATCATTGTCATTTGAATAATTATATCTACAAAGAAAATGTACACTTATATTTTAAATTCCCCAAATCCTGCAACTTTCGAGATGTCGTTTATTTTTATCTTCGCTGTAAGCACTCAGCTTATAAAATACATGGTTGATTAATGTTGTCCAAGCCAAAAAAGCTAGTTGTCTACGAATTTAAATGTTACATTATCCATATACTATTTGATCTGAGAAAGAAAACAAAAGAAATACATATAATTAACATTTACATATACATGAGTTGAGAATACTGGTATCCTTGTACATACGTATATGCATTTTGTACTCTGTCTTGTTTGTACTTGAACATGCATTTACTAGTGTATGTGTTTTGTTCTTAAAGAAAGAGATTGTTATGCTAATTTTTAATACCCATGTAAATCTTTTTAATCAACTTCAATGTCACCAAAACAAATAGGATCTACAAAAATTGTTTTTATAACTTTGTTAAATATATTAAGTAGAAATTTAATAGCTTCACTGCTTATTTTCTTCTAAAAAGTGTAACGACTACATTGCTCAGAATTGATAGAAATAGGATAACTTCTTCTCCATATATAATTTGTAACACTGCACAATTTCTCTGTCATAATTTGAAATTCATTCTTACATTTGTACACTTCGGAATGGATTTTTTGACAACCTGTTGTATTACATTTCTTCCAATACAGATTACCGTCATGTGTGAGGATTGGACAATGTTCTATCAATACAAAATTATAAGTATAAAATAAAAACAAATTGATATGTAAATTATTGTAATTGGTTTAACGTCTTATTCATGTAATCGATCTACTAGAAAGGTTAATGAGAGACAGTCGATAAAAGATGTCTTTTAATAGTTCGGAAGCACACCTTTTGAATAAAAACAACCCTCAACCACTTCGTGATCAATGGGTAAGTAGTTCGAGGTTTTTTTTTTTTTTTTTTTTTTTTTTTTTTTTTTTTTTAAATGATTCAATTTTCTTAATTTTCATGAGAGCTAATTGTACAATTGTGTAAATATGCAGTCTTTTTTTTTTTTTTTTTAAATGAAGCAGATCTAGATTCTACAGCGGTTGTCGTTTAAAGTTATGGTCATATAGCTTCAAATGATTGTAAAAGAGAAATTAAAAAAAAAAAGAAACATAAAACGTGTCGTGAAACGTGATATGCATATCTGGTCATTATTTTTTTTTATGTTTGCATTCAGTAAATCCATTGCTACTTCTGAACAAACTCAGATCAACGCTTGTTAGTTATTTAAAGATCTAGGTCAGAATTTGAATAGGCATTGTCACGCATGAATGTCGAAGGAATAAAAAGCAAAATTCTAGAACTTTCATTGATTTTTCGTTAATATCAGAAGACATTTAAATTCATAACACAAACTTCGACAAAACACCTGCAATTGATACACACACATTATCATATTTCGTAAGACCTTGAATATTGTCAGCTAGTGGAGACGAATTAAAAGACAAAAGTGTTTTTGTCAAGATTAGTTTGTCATTGTACATATATATAACATACATTTATTATTGATATAACAAAAAAAAAAACCAAAAAAAAAACCAAAAAAAAAAAAAACAAGTATTCTGAAAGTATTGCATTAGCAATACTACCGGTAGTCCCCTACCGGCAAGTGTAATCTGGTTCCCGTTAAGAATTGAAAAGGCCATAATTCCGTCAAAAATCAATGAAGCGGGGCAAAATGCAAACTTGATCTATAACTAATGAAGGTAAAGTCACATACCAAAAATCAGCTCAATATCTGAAAGCTGTTAGAAGAAAATTGCAGAAAATCCCTAAAAAATGAAAAGGCCGTAATTCCGTCAAAAATCAATGAAGCGGAACGAAATGCAAACTTGATCTGTAACTCATCAAGATACACTCACACACCAAAAATCAGCTCAATATCTGCAACCGTTTAGGAAAAAAAGTGCGGAAAACCAAGTGGGACAGACTGACAGACAGACAGAGGGACAGACAGACAGAGGGACAGACAGACAGACAGACGGACAGACAGACGGACGGACAGACTCAGAGGAAACCTATAGTCCCCTCTGGTTTCACCGGTAGGGGACTAATAAATGTACATAAATTTAAAAGTCACAAATTAGAAAAAGTTAGATTTGTTGGATAATTATGACTACATTGATGGATATAATACATACTCACATTTATATTCTTTCCTTCTGTGAATTTATGGGGAAAATGCTTAACAAATTCCTTATAAATTTGTCACACATGTAATTGATTTATTTCTTAAGTATAACATATTGAACAAATGAAGAATAGAGTCTTTTATTCATTTATTTGTTTTATTTATTTTCGAAACTTTTTTTACAACTCATTAAAAGTTTTCACTTGTTATCCCTCTCATCTGATTGATAAGATTAATGGCTTACCGACGATATGGACAGTTATAACAAAACCACGTATGAAAAGTTCCATTTGTTTCTTTGCGATTCGCTTGATAGCGAGCACTTCAGCTGCAATAGTAAAGATTTATTTAAATATTTCCTACGCAGAATGCTGGGGCTTAGATATTTTTATTTAGAGTACCTCATTAAACTATATATCTTCTCAAACCGCCAATCAATATATGCTTATAATAACTACTCGTATATGTAGTGTCAGAGGTCCTTTGTGTAATTACGACGTTAGCCTTAGTGAATTAATTCAATAAGCAAACAACATAAACAAAATATATTCTTACCTGTATCAAGTTGTCTATTTATTCTTTGAAAGAATTTATAGAGAAGACCACATTTTCTATGCATTATCTACAAATTAATATTTCGTTCCAACGACCATTTTCTATTAAGTTTTTTTTTTTTTTTAAATCCAAAATCGACAGATGTCTTTTCTTTCAGTGTTTTTTTTTTTTCTATATTCTTTTAATCAACACGCTCTTTATAGCACACATAAGATACAGATTCATGTATCAATTTATTACAGTAATTACCTAAGGATGTTTCAGCAATTCTATATCCATTCGTCATACAGAGAATAAATGGTTTGAATGTGATCAAACAAAAGGCAGTGGGAATTCCAGCCTTTTGTCCATGGTTAAAAATAGTTTGCAGTGAAAGGTTGGGAAATTTAAATGTTTCTAATAATATAGTTTTGAAAGTCATGTCTAGAACTTAACATACCACACTCCCATTTCCAGGTTTAACGTATAATTTTTACCCGGGTTGAAATTTGACCCGGGGGGTCATTTTACAACGTTGAACATTGAGACCAAAGGTGTTAAATGTAGTCCCTAGTCCGTTAAATATTGAGCCGGGTCATGGAATTTCGATCATCAAACCGGTTAAAATGCAACAGCATAAAAACACGTATTTATAAATTGATATTCATAACTATGATTTATTCAATTAAAATATATACTTTATTCAGTTTCAGTCAAAACACCAACCACTTCAAAGAGGAAGAGCCTATTATATATGCAATCAATTTATTTGTAGTGAACGGTTCGCGTAAAATAGCAACTTTTTGTGTAATATTTATATAAAAATAAATATGTCTTAAATAATCATAAAATATATATCAGTATACATAGTTAAATAATAAACAATTTAGTTCAGAAATGTGTTTATTTATATTTGTTAGGCTAACAGCACTCCATTCTGGCATGATGCATGTCCATTTTTATGCATATTTTGTCTTGTACAATGTGAGTATGTTCATCTTGAGATCCGGATTTTTTAAGCATCTTTTTAGGACTTTCAATGCCTATCCCGTATATAGTGTTTACATAGCCCAACTTATTTGATACTCGAGGGCATGCTCCGAGTACGATCAATTTGTAAGCAGAAGCAGGCTACTGCATGACGATAAGTTGATGTTATAGGGATTTCAACAACCTTGTTAAAAGTCAGCATTACATAAATTCTATGGTTGATATATTGGGCTTTTTTGTAAATATAACCTCATGGTTCTATTTTGGCCAACGTGTTTCATACCAATTTTTAGGCTTTTTTATACTGAATTCGACTACCTGATCGATACTTAGTGTTCATGGCGGGTGTGACAAGTCAACAGGAGAAGCTTATACTTCCCTGTGGCATTTAGAAAGTGATGTCAGAAGTAAGGTTGTCATGCACGAAAATAAGATATATCGCGCACTGATCAACAACGTACATATATATACTAGGGATGGTCTTAGGCTTATTTCTTTTAGTATGGAAAAAGGTAAATCTTAAAACTGAAATATTACTTAATATTTACATCCACTGAATATTTTCTCTTTTATTTCTTAAAAAAATCATTATCGTTTATCAATCAGTTAATACCACTAATCGTACATGTATCATCTGCACAGATTTCTTGAACAGTGGCTCTTCTATCAACGAAACGTATAATGATTTACATACCAATAGTACAATATTTAATTTACTGAATACTACTTTAGATGATTATATGTACATACATAAATATAAATAAAATGTTTTTTCTTTGTTTGTTAGTACGGTAATTAACGTTGCAGTCATTGCAGAAACAATTATATAACACGCAGGTAATACAGCACTCCCGATTCAATATTCAACGTTACACCTGGATCAGGATTAGATCACAACAACTTTCTTGCATTCTTAACTTAAAAAAAAAAAAATTAAAATTAATTTTTTCCTTGGATTTATCGTTGTTTGACATAGTGAAACATGTTTTAAATTTGAATTGAATAATGGTTAAAAAAAAAAATATATCTTCGTAATCTAAGATTTTTTTTCTTATTTCAGAGAAACCCCTTCCCCCATTTCCACCATCGCTCAAACATAATATTTTATTTAACTGGTCATTGTTTTATTAATTTCTTCAGTAAGTTACTGAAAAGAAATTACACAACTGTGCAGCAAGCTGTAACCTGAATATTGAAAAAGGTTTTTAAACAGCATTCGTTGAAACTAGCTGTCAACTTAATATTGAACGACAGCTGTGCTAAAAAAATGACAACCTTGTTTTTCCGACCTATGCAATTGCTCAACTTCCAATGTATTTCGAACAGAGTGTTCTATTTTTCATAAAATATTAACCAATTTTGCATTTTTAAAAATAAGTCTGGCATGACTCTATTTTAGAGAAGTCCACCCACATAATAACTAACCAACTGATTGTAATTTTTGATATATATATATATATATATATATATATATATATATATATATATATATATATATATATATATATATATATATATATATATATATATATATATATATGACTGCCGTCATGAGAAAAGGGCCCTTAAGGTCAAAATTTCACAAATTGACTTTTTGGTAAATTTTGATAGCCTGACTCTTTCTGAATGCAAATATACATCATTTTTTAAAATATCTCACTTTTTCAGTATTTTATGAGCATTTTAGTAAGGTCGCTTCAAAACAACGTTGACATTATTTACTGAAAATGTAATGACGTCGCGTGCGTCAAATTCAGTTACCAAACATTCTTTTAAAAACTACATTTCTTAAATAACCATAATCGTTTTGACACATATAAACTAAAGAATTTTTTTTCCTTCCAAGCAACTAGTATGTAATTATTCATGAGGGAAGTCGCATACTATTTTCATGCTATATTTAGAACAGATCTAGTAATTTCGTAAAGGGGAGGGATAGGGGTCTAGACAGGATCTAGGAACGGTTTTTATTCAGTCGAAAAATTAACTTTAAAAATAATTCTTAAAGTAAATACTTGTTGAATTCTACACAAGGTATCCTTTTTATGATTAATACTCTAGCTCAATTTATTAAAGATTCACAGCATTTGTAATATTAAAATATAAAAAGATCTATAAAGATGTCCAAGAAATGCACTTCGTGCAATTAAAGCGGGACGTCCCCTCGCAAAAGAGCACATCGATCCCGATATGAAAAAAAAAATCGGATATAAGCACGCATTCACTCACCCATATACACGCACGTTACTTTATCCCCTATAACTTTGTTGCGAAGGGATAATACAACCTTATGTATTTTCTGTATCACCGAAAAATTCTAATGGGAAATAAATTCAGATACGCTATGATGTGTAAACATTTTTTTTTTTTTCATAAAAAAATCATAATAAATTTCAAAAAAAATCTCTTCACTACTTCCAAGGGGATTTTTTATTTAACTTTTTAATTTAAATATTTTTTATAAAAATGTTTAATAATTAAGTTTCCATTGTTTATACAATTCTTCGCCTGTCTTAGTTATGGAGTAGAAACATAACAAAGAGGCACATAATGATGTCAAAGGATTGTTTGATGAAAGTTTATTCCGTACAAGAAAATTAAAATTTTTGTCGACTTCTTACTTTTTTAAAGTAAATCACACTTAATCAACAGCGGTTATCAATGTTTCTGTACATTGTTTTTTTTTTTTTTTTTTTTTTTTAATTTTGAGGCACCTGTGCCCTTGACGCTACTGCTGTATCCCTTGAACACAACAATTATCGTTCATCATTTCTTAAAAGGGGCGCTAATCTAAAATAAAATATGGTTTATGTATATATTGTATAGTTTGATCAAAGAGATGGTTGTACTGCTCTTGGCTCTTATATATATATATATATATATATATATATATATATCTATATCTATATCTATATATATATATATTTCTAGAAATACCATAACTAAACAAGCATATGTAGGGGCAACCTTGGTGCCAATGGCAGTACCTTTGATTTGTAGATGATTTTCGTCGGCAAAAAGAAAATTATTATTCTCTAGTACAATTCTTAGTCCTTCTAAGATGAAGTTTGTGGGAAATCTATCGTCGATTTCTTCCGGATATTTATCCAACCAATATTTGATTGCCTCAATTCCTAAATCATGCGTAATATTAGTATATAAGCTGGCAACATCAAAACTAACAAGCAGTGTATTTCTTCGTATTGTTTGTGGAATATAGTTGAGGAAATCAGTATCATCACGAACATAACTGGTCACTTTGGTGCACAGTGGTTTTAAGATTATATCGAGCAGATTGCTTAATCTTTGTGTACTATATGCGGGTCCTGCAATGATGGGCCTCAGTTTAAGATCGTTTGGTCTAGGAAGTTTTATGTACGTAGAATTACATTTACATTTCTTGACATTTTCCTGAATTTCTTTACATTTGTGTATTTTGGGAAGAGCATAAAAATGTTAGAGGAATTAAACAAAAGAAGTAGGAAATTGCTTGCATTAAGGACAGAAAATTGAAATTAATTTTGTCTTATCTAACAAAATCTGGTCCCCTAAAAAGCTTGAGGGAATAAATATACCTAAACCATGAAAATTAATTTTTTTCATACCTCAATTTACAGAGGCGGTCATGAACAAGTCTACAAAGAGCATGATGAAATTGCAATAAATAATTATAGACGTTTTATTCATTAAATGATTCACAATTCACTTACTGTGAAAGAATAGAATTATAAAGTTAAACTTAGAATCTATTTTTTTAAGAT